AAAAAATATAGCCAGGGAACCAGAAAATACTAGGGAGTGAGCTATACCATTATACTACTGATGGGAAATCAATAGTAAGCATAGTGCAGAGTGAATTAACTAGTCCAATCAACTAACAAACAGCTTTTGAACGGGACAGTCACCTTCCTAACGAGTTCTCCTGTCCCACTCCGCTGTGGAGAGCCCAGCTTTCTGACAGAGCTCCTTGGCATTGTGCTGCCGCTTGGAGAGGGGACGGGGAAGGCAGATGAGGAGAAAAAGAGGTACTTGCAGACCATAGCCAGTGCAGCTTCTGGGTGCTGTTGCCATCAGAGGGAAACAGGGTTAATGATACTCCTGTTTTTGTCAGGAGCTTGGAGATCAACGGATGAAAGGCCACGGATCAGAGCTGGGTGCCAAAAGGGCTGTCTTTGCTGCAGAGCTCACTCGGGATTGGCACCTGGGTCAGCCTTGCCTGCGGGTGAGAAGCCCCCCTGCAAAGCCTCACCCACGTTACTCTGTCTTCCCTTGTGTGTCACCCGGGGGAATGATCCCGGGTTCTTCGTGCTGCAGACGCTGAGCCACACTATGGTTCTCTCCCAGGGAATGGTGGGAGGACTTGTCTGTCCTGGGCACGGGGGGGAATTGTGGGAAGGTGTTGGAGGACTATCAGCACTGCAGTGATTTAGTCTGTGTCCTCTGTAAAGTGGGTAGGTTACTAGGCCAAGTGAAAGACGCATCTGGGTTTTAACCTATACCCCAGGGTGCACCCGCTAGCTCGGGCTGAAAGCACGACTAAGCTCAGGTGAGACGGCTGTGTGTGTAGACAGGAGGTGGTCAGGGTCAAACCCCGAGGTAGAACCCGAGTTGACTCAAGTGAAGACGTGCCCAAAGAGGGCTAGAGGATCATAATGATCCCTTCTGGCCTTCAAATCTGTACAAGCTACTTCCCCATCATGGCCCCGATCCTGCCCCCGCTGACCTCACTGATCGTATTGCCAGTGCCTTCAGTGGAAGCAAGACTGAGCCTTTAAAGGAGAAACAACAGCGTATGTCAGCACCGGCCACAGCGTGAGGTGAGCTCACCCCACGCCCCGCGGGGAGGCAAAGGGGAGGTGTTACTGCAGACGGATGGGCCTTGAATGACACATGGCCCAGCCGAATGGGTGCAGGCGGTTTCCCCTTCCTGAAGGCGGCTCAGCCGTCTGGAAGTCGGGAAACACTGCTTGTGTAAGGCCTTTACTGCCGCTGGGATTTTCACAGCATGGCCGGGCAAAATCCGGAGAGGTCCTGAGTAGCTGCAGAGCACCCACTGCTTCCACTGACTTCCTGGGAGCTCAGCTCTTTGCAGGATTCGGCCCTCTGCTGCTACTTAGTATTAACGTGGGACCGTTCATCCAAGGATCTCAAAGCACTTTCCAAAGGTGAGTAGCTGTAACCCTCCCTGTTTAAAGGAAACCGAGGGCACAGCGAGGGAAAGGCCTAACTTCAAAGTGGCTATTGATTTTGGGTGCCACAAAGCTGGGGAGCCCAGCTGGACACCCAGGGCCAGATATCGAGGAGCTTCAAAATGCCGAGAGGCATCTAGTGGGGTTTTTTAAAGTGCTTGATGCCTATCTGCATCTGTAGGTGCCTAAACACCTTTAAAGATCTGGCCCCCAGCACCTGGTTTGCAGCACCTCTGCAAATTCAAGCACAGAAATGGAGGGCGGGAAGAGACCTCAAGGTCATTTAGTCCAGCCGCCTGCGCTGTGGCAGGACCAAGTCAACATAAACCAGCCCTGACAGGCGTTTGTCCAGCCTGTTCTTAAAACCCACCAGTGACAGGGATTCCACAAGCTCCCTATTGTAGAGCTTAACTCCCCTGAGAGTTAGAAAGGTTTTCCCAAAACCTAACCTAAATCTCCCTGGCTGCAGATCAAACCCATTACTTCTGTATTACCTTCAGCGGGCATGGGGAACAACTGATCATTGTCCTCTTTATAACAGCCCTTCATGTAGTTGAAGACTTATCACAGAGGTGGGCAAACTACGGCCCGCAGGCCACATCCGGCCCGTGGGACTCTCCTGCCCGGCCCCTGAACTCCTGGCCCAGGAGGCTAACCCCCGGCCCCTCCCCTGCTGTTCTGCCTCCCCTGCAGCCTCAGCTCGCCCCGCCACCGGCGCAATGCTCTGGACGATGGAGCTGCGAGCTCCTGGGGCAGTGCAACTGCAGAGCCCGGCCTGACCCGGTGCTCTGTGCTGCACGGTGGTGTGGCTGGCTCCAGCCGGGGGGTGCGGCTGCCTGTCCTGGTGCTCCAGGCAGTGCGGTAAGGGGGCAGGAAGCAGGGGGGGTTGGATAGAGGGCAGGGGAGTTCGGGGTGGTGGTCAGGGGGCGGGGGTGTGGATAGGGGTCGGGGCAGTCAGAGGGCGGGGAACAGAGGGGTTGAATGGGGGCAGGGGTCCCGGGGAAGCAGTCAGGAAGGAGAGGGGATCTTGGATGAGGTGGCAGGGGGCAGTCGAGGGCGGGGGTTCCAGGGGCTGTCAGGGGACAGGGAGGGGTGGATGGGGCAGGGGTCCCGGGGGGGGCCGATGGGGAACAGGGGGAGTTAGAATATAGAATATCAGGGTTGGAAGGGACCTCAGGAGGTCTAGTCCAACCCCCTGCTCAAAGCAGGACCAATCCCAACTAAATCATCCCAGCTAGGGCTTTATCAAGCCGGGCCTTAAAAACCTCTAAGGAAGGAGATTCTACCACCTCCCTAGGTAACGCATTCCAGTGCTTCATCACCCTCCTAGTGAAAAAGTTTTTCCTAATATCCAACCTAAACCTCCCCCACTGCAACTTGAGACCATTACTCCTTGTTCTGTCATGTGCTATCACTGAGAACAGTCTAGATCCATCCTCTCTGGAACCCCCTTTCAGGTAGTTGAAAGCAGCTATCAGATCCCCCCTCATTCTTCTCTTCTGCAGACTAAACAAACCCAGTTCCCTCAGCCTCTCCTCATAAGTCATGTGCTCCAGCCCCCTAACCATTTTTGTTGCCCTCCGCTGGACTCTTTCCAATTTTTCCACATCCTTCTTGTAGTGTGGGGCCCAAAACTGGACTCAGTACTCCAGATGAGGCCTCACCAATGTCGAATAAAGGGGAACGATCACGTTCCTCGATCTGGTGGCAATGCCCCTACTTATACAGCCCAAAATGTTGTTAGCCTTCTTGGCAACAAGGGCACACTGCTGACTCATATCCAGCTTCTCGTCCACTGTAACCCCTAGGTCCTTTTCTGCAGAACTGCTTTCTAGCCTTTTGGTCCCTAGTCTGTAGCAGTGCATGGGATTCTTCCGTCCTAAGTGCAGGACTCTGCACTTGTCCTTGTTGAACCTCATCAGGTTTCTTTTGGCCCAATCCTCTAATTTTTCTGGGTCCCTCTGTATCCTATCCCTACCCTCCAGCATATCTACCACTCCTCCCAGTTTAGTGTCATCTGCAAACTTGCTGAGAGTGCAGTCCACGCCATCCTCTAGGTTGGATGGGGCAGGAGTCCTGGGGGAGGCTGTCGGGGGCGAGAAGCAGGGGGCGTCGGATAGGGGGTGGGGGCTGGGCCCCACCTGGCTGTTTGGGGAGGCACAGCCTCCTCTAACCGGCCCTCCATACAAATTTGGAAACCTGATGTGGCCCTCAGGCCAAAAAGTTTGCCTGCCCCTGACTTATCAGGTCCCCCCACAATCTTCTTTTCTCAAAGCTAAACATGCCCAGTTCATTAACCTTTCCTCAGCTCAGGTTTGCTCATTTTTGTTGCTCTCTTCTGGGCTCTTTCCAATTTGTCCACATCCTTCCTGAAGTGTGTCACCCAGAACTGGACACAGTTCTCCCGCTGAGGCCTCACCAGCGCTGAGTAGAGCAGGACATTTACCTCCTATGTCTTACATACAACACTCCTGTTAATTCACCCTGGAATGATATTAGCCTTTTTCACCACTGCATCACATTATTGACTCACGTTCCATTTGTGATCTACTCTGAGCCCCAGATCCTTGTCAGCAGTACGACCGCCTGCCCAGTTATTCCCCACTTGGTAGATGTGTGTTTGATTTTGCCTTCCTAACTAAGTGCTTTATGTTCGATCTAAGTGACTTGCGAGGTCACAATGTCAGAGCCAAGACTGTCCCGATGACCTGCTCTAGTCTGCTCGCCAGAGCTGTCGCAGATTGTCCATCCAGCTCTCGGACCCAGTGCCCCACCCGCTCTACACCTGGCAGGTTACCGTTCTCAGAGTAACCCTCTCTCCCGCCCAGACACCGACCTGCTTCCTCCCTCTCATTCACTTCGAAGCAGCTCCAGTACTCCTTCTCCTTCGTATCGATTTTCCTCCGCTCCAAGATCTCGAAGGTCAGCTCTTCTGCCGTCATGGTGGCTGGGATCTGAGGCGAGGAAGAAAGAAACCTCTCGTGTCTGCGTCATGGCAGGTCATGTCTCCAGATCCCCCCACCCCTCAGTGCAAGCCCGAGCATCCAGTGGGGTACCAGCCCTTCTGACCAGGAGCCACGGACCCTTGCGTTCGTTCTGTGGCTAGCGGGCAGCCCTCGGAAGCCGTTTGCCAGGGCTGCGCCTTCTGTCAGGCAGTCAGAGGAAGGCGCTAGCTCTGCTGTTGAAGGGACCAGATTGAAAATCCTCTCTGCACTGCCCCACACTGGCATGTGCGAAGCTTCCCTAGCAAGATCCCCTGATCCCCCGTGCTCAGAGTCACATGCGCCCTGGGGTGGAGGTGGAAGCCCCTGCACCCACTTGCCAGGGCAAGCCCAGCACTGGGGCTCAGAGGGCAGTCAGGATGCAATCGGTTGCCCCATTTCACGCCAGCTGTCTGGAGCACCGGTGCCACCCTGACTGTCCCCCAAGCGGCATTGTGATGCTCCAGCCCTTTGGATCAGAGTGAAGGGAGCATCGCGTGCCACCGCCCGGCCTATCCCTCCAGCTTCCCCTTCCTCGGGGCGCACAGCGCATGACACCGCTTCCGGCGGAGACTCTGCAAAGGCCTGTCTGAGGCACGCCCAGTGACGGCCTCTTTCCCTTCCCACCGCCTCTGCCCTCGCCTCACCTTGACATGCTGCTCTGCTTCCGTCTTCTTCTCCTCCAGATACACTGTGCAGATGAAGTCCCCGGCTTGCTGGAAGGAAACAAGAAAGGGGCTTTTACCAGCAGGTTCCTGTTTACAGAGGGGCACCGACACTGGTGAGTGTGAATCCCCTCCCGGCCTGGCCTGCCACACCCCAGAGTTAATCTGGGTGCAGAGATCCCCCTCATTATTCGCTGAATAACCCCCCATCACAGGGTGGCTGGCCCTTTAAGGGGAGAAGGGTCCCACACCCTACCTGTGACACACTTAACTCCATAGGTGGGCAAAAGGAAGGTCATGTGATCGGTGGGTCATGTGATTTAATCAAGCCACTGCTCAGAAGGCAGCTGACCCTGTTTCCACCCCCTATTCTCAAGCAATTCAGCACAACAATGAATTTTGTCGTGGTCCCACTAGAGCGCCCCCTGCTGGTCAGCAGCAGCAGTGACTGGAGCCACGAGAAGCCATCAGCGGGAACATGGAGCATTTCTCGCTGGCTTTGTGGTGGTCCAGCGGTGGGCTAACCGGGGATGTGAGGACAGACCCAGAGGCTGCTGAATGGGAGGGGGAAATAGCTGAAAATGTTTTCTATTTCAGCTTCCAAAGGGTAACAGGAAGTGGCGTGAGCGAGCTGGGACCTAACAAGCTGCCCCCTTCTACCGCCTAGGATTCTGGGAGCGATAGAAAAGGGGGATTTGCTCTTGGGAGGGCGAATGGGCAGCCCCAGCACACACAGCGCCGTGAAACCATGTGTGTCAGAACCGGAAGCAGCCTCTACAGCCAGACTGCTAAAGCAGAGAGCGACCCTCCCAGGTTAGCTGGTGGAGGAGACTAACTGTGTCTGCCTGGCCCCTTTGGAGTTCCTGAGATCTTAGTTTCCCAGTGGCTCTCCGAAGAGAACCGAGCGAGCGTGTGCAGGTGAGACCTGCCCCTCCTCCACCAGCGGGCGGACGGGCTGGCTACCTGGGTTCCACTGGACGAGCCGGCTATCCGCATCTTGATGATGGCTGTGATCTCGTCCTGCTGTTTCCTCATCTCTTGTTCGTCCACCTGCCGAGAGGAGAGAAGGCCAGAGTGATCGAACCCTCGGCAGCCCGGCAGCAGAAAGGCCAGATGGACAGCTTCACGTGGGGCCCAGCTCTGGGAGGACACGAGCCTCCCCCATCAGTCCCTGCCCCCCCTACCCGTCACTGAGCTGTGCTGGTCCGGAGTCACCAACCTGCCCAGCTCCACCGGCCAAGGAAAGGCACTCAACAGGGCTTCCCGTGCTTCTCCCCACTCGCTCCGATGTCGAGTGCCTAGCCCATGCCATCACGGCTTCACTGCTATTGTTATTCATGATAGCTCAGGTACGTCCGTATGTGCTGCATTCACACCCACTGGCAGCAGTACAGCCGGACCCTCTGTGTCGTCAGGGTCTCTCCTTGATCTGTGAGACGCAATCCCACCCTCCACTTGCCTCCAAGCAAACTGGATTTCTCCAGCATGGCTCAGACACAGCCACCTTCCCCTCATGGATCCCCCAAATCCAGCCAGTCCTCTCCAAAGTCACCCTTCTCCCAATGGCCGGGCTTTCTCTGCAGAGGGTGCTTTATAGGATCTGGTGGCTAGTGCACTGCTGAGAATCGTATGCCCGGAGCCAGGTGCTGAGTGGCGGGTGGAAAGAGAGGCTGGAGATCAGAAAGACGACAAAGGAAAAAACTTCCTCGTGGAGGAAGCTCCCAGGGTAAAACAATGGGCGCGAAGGGCCATAGTAACAGTAATCATGCCAAGCTCTTAACATCCGTGGATCTCAAAGCACTTCACAAAGGAGGTTAGTCTCATCGGTAAGACGGGGAAACTGAGGCACAGGGAGGGGAAGTAGCTTGCCCAAGGTAGCAGAGCTGGCAGTAGAAGCCAGGTCTCCTGATTTGCTGTCTCGTGTTCTGGCCACCAGACCACACTGCTCCACAGAAGAGCTTGAATAGATAGAGGCCAGGTTACAACGGACAACAATGCGAACGCTCATTCTGGCTGGGCGAAGAAGGCAACGTTTTCTATAGGTGCCCGGGAGCCGAGTGTACGGGCTCTAGGCCTGGAAGCCTTCGGTCCGCTGAGGGAGACGCTTTGGGGAGTGGGGCTTCTGAACGCTACGTACGCTAAATATGACCACGTAGCGGCTGATGAGATCCTCCACCACGCGCCCCGCCTTGTAGTCCTTCCCATCCGTCTGGAAGAGCGTCGGCCCGAAGACAATCGCCAGGTTGTGTGTGTTCATCTGGTTCATCTCGGAGAAGTACTGGACCCTGAGGAAAGCCAGCACATTAAGGACAGCTCCTCCCGGAGCTCCAGCTGCCTCCCCGCCCTGCCCCAATGGCCCTCTCAGATCTCGCCATGCCAGTCGGGGTTTCCGTTTCTGGGGGGACCCTCCATGGGTTGCTGTGTGTAGTGCTCTAGGCCCAGATCCTACAAGGTACTGATCTCCGTGGGAGCTAGGCACCTAAACACCTTAGAAGGTCTGGGCCCAGGCTCGGCTCTCTAGTGGTGGGGACCCTCTCGGCCAGACATACCCTGCTCCGCCTCTGACCTAGGGCAAACCCCCAGCCGTTGGTGAATGGCTCAGGGACGCTGGTGGGTCAAAGCGGCCAGCTGCTGCTCACAGGGGTTGGGGTTTGAATTCTGCTCTGGCTCCTGGCAGGGCTGGTGGGCACCTGGGAACAGAACTACCAAGGAGCGGGAAAGGAGTTCCTCTCTCTCCAGCTGGTCTAAGGGAACAAGCTGTGCTTCCTGACAGATCCAGGCAGATGTATGATTTTAGTTTATTATCCATGTATTGTGTCAGGTTATGATTAATCAACATCTTATATCATACAGATTCATTGTATGTTAATTAGAGTTCATTTGTAGGATTACAGAAGTACAAGATTGATCAGTATTTAGAGGAACCATGTACTAGACGTAAGTCAGAGAAGCTGAAACGCAGAAACCTGTAGGCTGAGACCTGCAAGATTTTAGCTCAACTATTTTAGGCCTTGGAGACAGGAAATGCTGACATGAGTCAATGACCGAGAAATAACCCGAAAGATGATGTGAAAAGAGGTACCAGCTGGTAATATTGTGAAAGTTTAGCAGGAAGATTAAATTTAAATGATAAAATGCTGTAACAGCAAATATTGTCTCCACCATGTGTCTTCACCACAAAATAAAGGTGGTACGGCAATGTTAATGAGAATCCGCCCAGCCTATAGGGGTCCCTTGTGGTTCTAGGGGACACAGACCAGATAGAAAAAGAGGATTGACACTTCCAGGTACACGCGCAGAGTGTAGGTATAGACAGAATCACAGGATAAAAGAGGGTGCCCAGAGCTTAAAAATTGAGCTTCCCATGGGAAACCTCCAGCAGGAACCATACCCGTATTGATGATCAGTCCCTCAGGGGCCAACAGACTCTAACCCCATCTAGGAGGATGTGAGCATGTCTGTCGTTACTTATCTTTAGGAAGTGTAAACGCTGTGACATTTAGAACTCTGTTGGTAACTTTAATAATAAACGGCTAAAAGAGATGTTCTTGTGATCGTCTGTGTTACTTGCCTATGGTTTCAAGTATTCCTACGGGCTCTAGAGCCAGACCAAAGAGAGAGAACTGTTGAACGTGAGACTGTAGCTGCCAGAGCTGAACCCACTGTAGTATAATTAACATTCAATAAAATAAACGGCTACACAGACCCGGCAGGTGGGACCCATTAGCCATAAAAGGTGCAGGCTCTTTGAAGGGGAGGCAGAAGAACCCGTCCCAGGAGCTCTGGGAAAGACAAACACTGCTCTGCTGACCCTGAGTCTGGCCTTCATCCTAACAACACTGTGCGTATCTGGAACCTCCTTTCGATGAGGGTCTCACAACCCCGCTGTGCGGAAGTTCACTACTAACATGTTTGGGGTCACACAGGAAGCTGGTGGCAGAGCAGGGGATTAAGCTCAGGTCTCCGGAATCCCTGGCTTTAGACCCTTCCCCTCCACAGCCTGTTAGGGACAGAACGACCCGTATCTCGCTGCATCCCAAACCAGCAGGTCAACCCAGCGCCTCTTTCCTTAGCAGGGAGCCCTGGTGAGTGACTGTCCAGCTGGGTGGACCCTAGGCCTTGCGTGCCCAGCTGACAGGACGAGGCACACAGCTCCGGCACCCACCGGAGAGCACTGGCCTCGGCCAGGCCCCGAGTGGAGCCGCGCAGCTGGGCTCGGCCGCGCCGCGCCCCCCTTACCGGTACAAGTGGTTGATCAGCGCTTTGACGGTGGCTCTGTTCACCACGGGGAGGCTGCTCAGGAGCTGGCGGTACTGGCCGATCTTCTCCTCCTCATTGTCAATCGCTGGCGGGGAAGGAAGCGGAGCACAGGGTGAGCAGAGCCGCTCGGTGGCAGAGCGGGTGGGCTCGGGGGAGGAGGCGACCAGCCAAATGCTGCCGGATTGGCTGCTAGGCTTCCCTGCCGGGGGTCATCCCTGGTACAAACTGAGCTGGGCTCTCACCGGACCCTCCTCTGCTTGCCTGACCCCCGTCCATCCATTTCCCAGACTGCCCCTCACTTGCCCCATCCCCTCCCGCCAGCTGCTTCTCCTCACGGGATTGCCCTCAGCTGCTGTTCAGCCAGGAGGAGGCCGCAGAGGAAGGGCTGGCACACAGAGGATTGCAGTCTCCTGGAGTGGAGGACAGCCCGGACAGGCAGGGGCGTGGGTGGAGGACAGCCCAGACAGGCAGGGGCGTGGGAGGGGAGGGACACGGCTGAGCTCCCTGCTCGCATCTCAGCTGGTTGTCAGCCAGATTCACCCATCCCCGGTGCTGGTGCTGCTGGGCAGCTCCAGCTGGAAAGGGTGAACGGTCCGGCGTCCTTTCTGCTGTGCTGGACGAGCCGAAGCGTCGCCTCGTCCCTCTGACCTGCCGCGAACCCATCCAGAGGAGAAACACCCCCCACTCCTGCGAGGCTGGAGATCCGGGACACACCTGCGTCTCAGTCCAGCCCTGCTCCCCTCATTTCCCCTCAGCCCTGCCCCACAGGAAGACTTGGATCTTCCCACCGCAGAGGGACCTGGTTCCTGTGCCGTGTTCCCCACTCAGTCAGGGCAGGCGCCAGATCTCTCTTCCTGTGATTCATGGCCCCGTCAGCGCCTGGCCACTTCTAACCCCCGGAACCAGAGGCCTCAACCCGCCCATAGTTCTCCCAACAAAACATCTGCAGCCCAGATGCCGTTTCCCAGCCTGATGGTGCCACGGAGGAGCCAGCCGGTGGCACTAGCCGGCTGCAGCTCAGCTGTGTGTCTACCCCACCTGCTCAGCGCGAGCGCTCTGGGCTAAATAAACCAGGAAAGGACGTCTTGGAGTTGTTCTCAGGCCCTCTCAGACTAGAGCCCCATGAGCAGGCTGTAGCACCCTGCTGTGCCGTGCTGGAGCGACACAGGCAGAGGGGCTGGCTGAGACGTCTGCTACTGACCTGAGATAACTAAGCTCCACCCACAGCCGAAATGCCTAATCCTGCAATAATCAATCATAATATGAATCCCGTAGGGAGCTGGCTGGTGTGGACATGTCACACTGCCCCCTACTGGCTGGCATCAGAACTGCTGAACTGTGTGTCGCCGGCCCGCAGGGCTTAGAGCTCACGGAGAGTAGCTGTGCTCTAGGAGCAAGAGGCTGGGAGTTCTGGCCCCGTGATGCTCTAAGAGGATGGGCTGTGCAGCCAGAGGAGTGAGAGTTTGTGACAGTGATTCGTCCTTCTCTGATGCCTACCTCTCAAAGTGTTTTGCAAACAGCAGTTAAGTAACTCCCATTTCACAGATGGGGAAACTGAGGCACGGGGCGGGGCAATCACTTGCCCAAGGTCACCCAGCAGGCACGTGGCAGAGCTGGGATTGGAACCAGCAACCCTGACTTCCAATCCCTTGATCTAACCCCAACCCAGATTAGTCTCCCCTCTTGGGATACATGTTCCTCTCTAAAGCAGGGCCTGTTAACAACCTGGACTCCCCATTATCCTCCCACTCCAGGGCACCCAGCTACCACTGCTCTCCCTGCAATGCCGCCCCCTTGTGTCAGACTCATAGATTTATGGACTGTAAGGCCAGAAGGGACCCCTGGATCACCTAGCCCCAGCTCCTGTCATTACACCTGCATTCAAGGCTCTGCCAAGAGAGGACAGCAGCGCCCCCTACCTGCTGCCTTCAGCCAGTCCTGGCAGAACTCTTTGGTGAAGAGCCCATCCCCGAGGTCTCGGAAGAACCTCTTCAGCGTGTTGGAGACGTCATCCACCTGGTGCTCCCCTTCCTTGAGCCGGACCCTGCGTGCGTCCTTCCGGAGCATCTCCAGCAGGTTGGTGGTCTTGGAGTTCTGGCCGCTCTTCCTGTAGATCCCCTCCGAGGTCAGCCCTGGAGCGGGAGCGGTCACTCGAGGTCAGCGATGCAAACGGCCTCATGTGAAGAACAAAGAACTCTCCCACAGGGAGTCACAGGCCACCCACCCTCCCACTAGCCTGACACAAGAAGCCAAGCGGAGCTCTGCAAGGAATGGAAGACCAATGCCTCTCTCTCAGCATGTGCCCGGTGACCACCGCCAATTTCTGTGAGGGTCGTAGGGCTGGATCCAAAGACCAGTCTAGTCCCTGGGAGTCTTTCCCCTGGACGCTAGGGGCTCTGGATCCGGCCCTTAGCAAAGGAAACAAACCCGTGTAATCATCAGTCCTTTAAGCCTCAGACCCACACTTGGGCTGGGCCCACATCAATCCTGCATCAGAACACTGAGACGCGGCGCTGCTGATCTCGACACGTCTAGAAAGAGCCCAGGTAGGGGCCCGAGCATGGGCTAGAAGGGAGTTTAAGGCGTCGGTCCATCTGGAGGAAGGGAATTTGTCGCAGAGGAAGCCACGCGGCAGGAGATAGGGCGGCCAGCTAAGGAAGGGGTGTTCAGACCTGGCCACTACGGAAGAGCTCTCTGACTGCGAGAGCTGGTGGTCAAAGGAACAGACTCTGCACATGGCCAAGACCAGCTGCTAAGCCATATATTCATAAACACAACACTGAATGCCCTGAACCCATCACTGCAACCAGCCACAGAAGTAGCCTTCCTACCCCCTCACCAGGCCGGGCGGAGGTAACGTGCTAATGCAATGGATGCATCCTGCAGTAGGTCAAGGAGAGAAGACAGGTGGTAATATACCTGCCTGCACTTCCCTTGTCCTCCTGGAGCTGGGTGTGCCATAGTCTGCACCTCTGAATTGTCACTACGGTTCCATTATAGACTCAGACTCATAGACATTAAGGCCAGAAGGGACCATCATGATCATCTAGTCTGACCTCCTGCACAGCGCAGGCCACAGAACCTCGCCCACCCACTCCTGTGATAGACCCCAAACCTCTGGCTGAGTCACTGACATCCTAAATCATGGTTTAAAGACTTCAAGTTACCAAGAATCCACCATTTACACTAGTTTAAACCTGCAAGTGACCCCCGCCCCATGCTGCAGAGGAAGGCTAAACCCCAGCCTTCGTCAGCAGGGGTTAGGGAGGTGATGGGTAACGGTGCTGGCCAATGGCCCATCCAGCACCAAACCATCTCTCGGGCCAGGGGCTTGCCTCTGGAAGCAGAGGTGCCCCCAGCACGCAGGCGAGGGGGAGAGGGCCTGCTGCATGCCCACAGACAGGGACGTACCGCACTGCGTGATGTAATCGATGCATCTGTCTACGATGACGGGAATGTCCGACTCCGTGAGCTGCTGCTCGGACAACGTGTCGCCGGAGCTCCCCGCAGCCTTCTGGATGGCAGCCACCCAGCCCAAGAAATCCAGCTTCCTCTCCCCTTGGATGTACAGCGTCCTGGGGAGACAAGCGAGGCCCCACAGCCCCTTAGCTGGGAAGCAACAACCGGGACTGCTATGCATGCTGGAGAGTCCGTCAGTTGATGCGTCTAGGCTGCAGCACCTCTAGCCTCAGAGGTTCCTGCCCTCTAACGTGAATTCCACGTGGGTGGAAGGTACTGGGTGAACAGCCCTGGGCAGCCACGTCTTCACGCTACCCCCCACAGCCCTGCCCACCGCGACGTGTCTCAGCCTGGCCCTGCCCATCTCCCTGGAGAGACAGCAACCTCTGCGCCCTCTGCTGGCAGCGTGAAGCAGGGGCAGGTCTTCAATGTCAGACGTGGTGAACGCCTGCCCCCCCCCGCAACGGACTGAGGCCAACCAGATTGTTTCACACGAGCCACTGAGCATATAGCGGGGGGTTGCTGCTTCCTGCCTCTGCTAAGATTTGCCCAAGGGACCTAGGGAAGTCCCCATCTCATCACCCACCACCTCCGGTGCCGCTGGTTATTTTTAGACCCTTTCGGCTTTCTAGGAGAACCCCGCCACTTTTAAGAACCTGCAGGATCTAACGAACCCGAAGGATCTCTCCCTCGGCTCTGCCCTGCACTACACGAAGCGCAAACAGGCTTTTTACCTTCTTCTCTCCACCAGAACCAGACTGTCCCCTTGGACGGCTGTGAAATGAAAAGCAGAGATGCCGTGAGATTGCACCAGCGCGGGAAGC